AAGAGTACAACAAACCCCCAGGTCCTAATCACCCAGCTGCTCTTAGTTCAACCACCTTCCATCTTCCCAATTAATTTGAGATCAACCACAAACGTATCATTTCATTGATATTTTCCAAAGAGACAGAAACTTTAGTATGTGTGTCTACTCTTAAGAGAAATTCACCATAATATTATTATCAGACCTAAAAAATAATTAATGATAATTTGTTAATATAATTAACTCTTTGGTTAGTGTTTTCAGTTTGATGGTGTCATGAACTTTTTTTGTACAGTTGGTTTATTCAACTCATGAAGAAAACAAAGGTCAACACATTGCATTTCGTTGCTATGTTGTTCTTTTTTTAATGGTTTTTTTTTCTGAGACAAGAGTCTCGTTCTATTGCCCAGGCTAGAGTGCTGTGGCGTCAGCCTAGCTCACAGCAACCTCAAATTCCTGGGCTCAAGCGATCCTCCTGCCTCAGCTTCTCAATTAGCTGGGACTACAGGCACGTGCTACCATGCCTGGCTAATTTTTCTATTTTTAGTAGAGATGGGGTCTTGCTGTTGCTGAGGCTGATCTCGAACTCTTGACCTCAAGCCATCCTCCCACTTTGGCCTCACAGAGTGTGAGGATTATAGGCATGAGCCACCACGCCCAGCCTCGTTGATATGTTTCTTAAGCCTTTTTTAGTTTTTGGATCACCCCTCCCTCCCTACTCCCTTCACGTTAATACATTTGGTAAATAAATAGGGTCCTTTGTCTCGTAGAGTTTCCAACCTCCAGGATTTTGCTGGTTGCATTCCAGTTGAGTTGTTTAGCATGTTCCTTCATGAAGTGCTTCTCCAAAGAGGGATGGTGATAACTTTTCTTTTTTAAAAAAACAGCTTTTATTGAGGTCTAATTGATATAGAAAAAAACTGCACATACTTGAGGTACACAATTTGCTGAGCTTTGACATGTATTCACCCGTGAAACCATCACCGCGGTCGGGGTGGTAGTGGGAAGACAGGTTCTCTCACTCATCGTGGGTAGGAGTGTAAACTGTACAGGCTGTAAGGAGAGAAATTTGACATCTCTTCCCATGACCGGCACAAACGCCCTTTGACTCAGCAATGCCACTATTCCACTTGTCACACTCGTGGTGCGCGATGAGTACTTAAGGTTGTGTGTTGCAGCGATGTCTGAAATAGCAAAGGATCCGATACTAGGCTATGGTAAAACAGTCACGTGACACGGAGTACCAGGCATGTTCTCCATGCTTTACAATAATAATTCACTTAATCCCCACAATACTCAGACGAGGCAGGTACTACCATTAGGCGTACTTTAAAGATGGGGCAACCGGGGCCCAGAGAGATTAAGTGGCTTGTCCAAGATCACACAGCCAGTCACCGTAGCACTCGCACCCACGCAGTCCTTCTGCAGAGCCTGTGCTCTTTCCTGCTGTGTTGCAACAGTCCAATTGTGATTGGGCCATTGTCACAACGGAATGTCATGTAGCTATAAAAAGAATGAAGAGGTTCTTTACGGACTGACATAAAATGGTTTCCAAGGTATAATGTAAAGCAAAGTGTAAACCGTCAGTGTAAGTGGAATGAGAGAATGTGTGTGTGTGTGTTTATGCATGTGTATATGTGCCCACTTGTGTGCAGGCATGTGTCATGTTTACCTGTGTAGATGTGCCACATACATGTATCTGCACATGCACACACGTGTTGTTACACATACATGTTCGTGCATGTTTGTGTGTGGTCGTGTGTATGCATGCGTATGTGCACACGATGCACACATGTGTATGTGTATGTTTTTAGCCTGTGATGTGTGTGATGTGTGTGTATATGTATGTGTGCATGTGTATACTTGTGTGTGTGTGTGTGGATATTTTTGTATGCATGTGTGTTTTGTATATGTGTACTTGTTTGGGCACCAACCATTCCTGAATGGATTCCAAAAGCCGTTGGCAGTTTGGTTGCCTCTCGGAGAGGGAATTCCTATAGGGTGGGGAAGGAGGCTTTTCACGGCCTATCTTTTTGTACTTACTGAATTTTTAAAAACTTTTAATGGAAGCATAACATATATAGAGAAAGGGGCCCATATTGTAAATCTACAGCTGTATTCATTTTCACAAACCGAATGTATCCATGTAACCAGCACCCAAGTGCGTAAAGGGATCAGGACTCCAAAGCCCCCTGCAGACGAACATAGATTAATTTTGTATGTTTTTGAACTTCATATAAATGGAATCATACTCCATGTGTGTCTGGCTTTTTAAAATTTTTTTTAAAATTATTATTATTATTTTTTTGAGACAGGGTCTTGCTCTGTCTCCCAGGCTAGAGTGCCGTGGCGTCAGCCTAGCTCACTGCAACCTCAAACTCCTGGGTTCAAGCGATCCTCCTACCTCAGCTTCCGGAGTAGCTGGACTACGGGTACATGCTGCCACACCCAGCTATTAATAATTTTTTCTATTTTTGGCAGAGACGGGGTCTCACTCTTGCTCAGGGTGGTCTTGAACTCCTAACCTCAAGCAATCCTCCCACCTCGGCCTCCCAGAATGCTAGGATTACCGGCATGAGCCACCGCGCCCAGCCTCTCATTTTAATAAATAAAGAAAATGAAGATGAGGACGTACGAACACCACCAAGTTGCCCAGACGTTGCTTGAAGTTGAGTGGATCAGTTTCCTATAGCGGCTGTAACAAACTACCACAACTTCAGTGGTTTAAAACAACATGGATTTGTTATCTGACAGTTCTGGAGATCAGAAACCTGAAGTGGGTCTTATAGGGCCAAAATCAAAAGCTGTGTTTCTTCTGAGGCCCTGGGGGAGAATCTGCTCCTTGCCTGTTCCAGCTGCCTGCATTTCTCAGCTTTGACTTCTGTTCCAATTGTCCCATCTCTTTCTAGGACTCTGATCTCTCCTCCTCCATCTCATGAGGACCCTTATAAGAATCCTCCCTGGTATCCCAGTGTGATCTCCCCATCTCAAGACCCTCCGGGGTCTAAGGATGAAGGACTCATGGGATGACTGTTGCAATAAACAACAGATTTGAGAAAAATGTGTGATAGTCGTCTGTGTAAAGTAGATGATAAATTCTGGAATCTAGAATTTCTTATCTTCTTGCCTTAGGAGGAAGCAAGTCCCTATGAAGTTATGTTTTGTCAGATCTTCAGGCAATTTCATCAGCTATGTGGGATGTCTGGGGAGCTTCATATTCCTGAGGCACCCCAAAGAAATGTGAAAGCAGTTCGAGGACTCTCTTCCAAAAGTAGCTGAGAGGGATGACAGAGCTTAGAGCAGCAGTGCGCATGCCCATCAGTGCCCAGGCAGGGTTGGCGGGTTCTCAGTGGATGCCAGCAGGAATGGAAGCTGTGTGCCAGGCCCCAGTGAGAACTCAGACATGGGCAGCGAGAACAGCATGAGAGATAAAACCTTGACAGTCACCTCCTTCCCACCAGCACTATAGCGAAAGCCCTGGATGAGGACAGTAGAACACAGAATCTCTGAATTAACCAATCTTAAATCTGAAATGACTTGAGTTTTTTCTAAGGGTGAAGTTACTACCTTCCATTTGGTACAATGTGGGATTGTGATAAGCAAAATTATTTAAAAGTAAATATATTAAATGTTTTAATTACATATTATATATGTAATATTATTTCAAATTTGCACACTCAAGAGTGTGGCCTGAGAAATTTGTACATGATGCAAAAATGTCTTTTTTTGCATTATAACCATATGATGGATACAATTTTTAAAATATCAAAACAATTCATGGGCCAAAATTTTGAAAACTGTGCTTCCTCCGTTTACTCAGGAAGTTCTCTTGCAACTGTCTTTGGCACCACTAGAAGGCCACTTCCCATGGGAAAGACCTACTCGTTTGTGTGTTTGATTTTGCTTTTCACCCCAACTAGTATTTACTGAATGCTTGTTATGCCCCCTCACAAAGTTGAAATTGGATTCGCTTGTGCTTCTTCTCCCTCTTTAGGGAGATTTAGCAAACGGACACAACAGGGAACTGCATGCCTAAGGACAAAGATGAGGAATTTGCTAGAGTCCGGCATTAACTGCAAGAGAGTTGGTAGAACTAGAGAACCTTCTAGAAAGAACTTGATTGGCATACATGATGGCCAAATTTCCCAGTCTTTTGGGAGGGGGACAAGAGTCTGCATTAAAAGTCTTTCCTCCCACCCCCAGTGCAGTTTACTGTGGGTCAGTTAAACCTCAGTGGAGCTGCTTTGAAAAATAACGTCTCCCCGTTACCCTCCTTGCCTTTTACTTTGCTCTACACACCTCCTGTATCCTTTGAGTCTTTTCCAGTAAGATAGATTTTATGTATTCTTGAGCAGTAAGCAAATAAATAGGCATGAGAACTTTCCAAAAATTCTCCCCTACCAGTAGTCACAGATTCAGCATATCTTACGGAGACCTAGCTCCCTCCCAAGTCCCCTCTGTCCACTGAAGTCACTACGTGAGCCACAGAGAAGGGAAAGGACAGTGTAGAGCAGGGAAAGGACAGACAGGCATAGGGAGATGGGGCCCATTACAATTGGATAATGTGGAGTCTCATTTTTCTCATTCTGCCACATCTTCTGGGCAAATATAGGAACCCCCAAACAGCAGACTTTGGCTTTAAAATTGGGCTAGGAGTGCTCTGGAGGTGGCTAACACTAGTCACTTGCCCAGCTCACAAGAGAAGTTTGCATATTAGGGTGAAAGGAAAATAAGACTTTAGGTCAAAATATCTAGTTCTTGTCTTGGCTCTGCCCATAGCTATGTAAATCTGAAAAACTCACTAAAGTTTTCTGGATTTCAGATTCTCTTTCTGGAAAATGTATGGGTTGGAGAAGTCAAATTTTAAGGGCCTTTTCAGTGCTAAAATTCTACGTCTAGTCTTGAAGCACACACAAATCATAGCAGAAATTTTATTAAAAATGTCAAGTACGTCCACAGCATCTTCCTTCGCTCTCCTCAAATCCCCACCCGCTCCTCAACTTGTTGATGACCAGCCGTCACCAGGCTCCCAGTGAACAAAGGTGTCCTGAGACCTAGGACCAGAAGCACCTTCTCAGGAAAAATGGACAAACAATTGTAGCAGCAATGGCAGCAGCAGCTGTAACCTCCAAACTGAAATGGGAAGATACGTGGCTCCATTTTCAGCCTTTCTGGGTTCAGTAAGAAGCTGCTTTGGGCAGATTTCCTTCACCAACATGGGTCCTACTGTGGAGACACTGGCCATCAGCTTGCAGTCCCTCATGGCTGTACAGCCTTTGACTCCCACAGATGACTCGATGCCACCTATGGAGCAAGGAAGGATAGGGAGACGCAGATGTTTGAGGAACTCAGAGGGGAATCCAAACCTGAGACTCATCCCTGGAGCCCTGAGTGTCAGAACCTCTTGGTATCTACTAAGAGGTCTGGTTTTCCAGCCTCTGAAACCAGCAGATGTTCATTTCGCTTTACCTCCAGTAATCTCTAGTTTTCCTTCATAGCATCGAGTTGTACCTCTGGGACAGGGAAGAGAAGGAGCACTGGAACAGTTCCCCAAAGCCACGCAGGTTGGGCACTGGAGGGTTGTTGGCTCAGTGGAAACTGGAGGGGAAAGAAAGGGAGAGTTAAGGGCATGTCCTGCCTCCAGAGATGTTCCTCCTTGCTGCCTGCTCTTCCTCAAGTCCTTCCTGCTGGTGTTCCTCTGATCAATCAAAGCCAATTACTGCAGCGCCCCTGTCCTTCCTCAGCTGACTATCTTTGCTGTCGGATCCCATCGGCATGACTGCCAAACTCTGTGCTCAGGTGGAGAGCTACAGAGATGAAAAGGGCATGGTTTCTGCCACCCGGCATCATCGTCTAGAAGGAGAAAGTCATGTAAGTAATTAACTACAATACCAGCTCCGTCGTTTCCATGTTCAGGATATAATGGTAAAGGAATGGAGGAGTACCTAACTGTCTAAAAGAATTTGCTAAGTATTTTCGAAGAGCTGATTCTGAGTTGAGATAGAGCGTGAATAGGTATTAGCTATGTGAAAATGGGGGTTGCAGGAGGGTCGCAAAGGAAACAGCAAGGACTAAGGCCGAGAGGTGTGAGCCAGCTTGGGGGATGCGGGGAATTATGAGACACCGAAGGGACTGATCAGCTGGTAGGCACAGTAGAGCCGAACTGTTTCATTCTTATGGCCAGCATTCATTCTGATTGGCTAGTGCCATCTCCACTGTTAAGTATTTGTAATACTAGCCCCAGCTAGAACACAGTAAATGAGAGAGGGAAGAGAGGGAAATGAAACTGAAAAGACAGGCAGGGCCAGGTCACTACAAGTCTTGAGTCCAAACTGGGGCCCTGGGCTGTTGTCATGCAGCAATGGGGAACCAATACCTGTTAGATTGATAATATCGCCACCCTGCTCAGAAACCTACACTGACATCTTACTGCTGAATAAACACAAAACCCGGTTTCTACTCCAGCCGTCCCTGATTTTCCTCTACTCTGAGCACTGTTTAGACCCCAAGGAACAATTTAGGAAAAGGAAGACAATCATTTGAACTGTGAGGTCCTTTTGTGTAAGGCCCACTTGGGCTAAGGCAAGTAAGAACACAAAGAGGGAAGATACACAGTCTCTTTATGGAGTTTCTCTTAGCACTTATCTTCCCCGCTTCCGGGGTACCTGAGGTCTCTTCTCGATTCCAAAACTGAAATAAGCTGTTTTTGTCGTTACAGAAGGAATCGTCGCAGTAGCTACTGTAGGAGACTGCAACCAGGCCAGGGGGTGGAGTGTGCTGGACAAACGTCAGTATCTGCATCTCTCCGGATATGCAGCCCTTGGTGACCAAAACAGCTGTCTTGGTCCCTGTTGGGAGACAGGAGGGAGGGAGAGTAGGTGGTGAGCCCAACAATTGGCCTTGACATGGACATAGTCACCCTCCCTCCCACCCAGCCCAACTGGCCCATTCTCATTTTACCCGCTTTAATCATTAGTGCGGTTTCCTGGCAAACTGTTCCATTGTCACAAGTTTCAACTTTCTCTGTGGTCCAGTTAAATGCATTGGTTGGATCCTCTTCTATATTCACGGATACACCCTTGTGACAATACAAATACTGCTGGGCCACTGGGGAGGAAACGAGATAAAGATAAGCACCTGCCCTACTCTGTGGGCTAATGGGACTCCTTTTTCATCATAAATCCATCCTCTGTGACCCCGCTGCTCTTCCCTCATGTCCCCGATACGTACAGGCCGAGGCAGAGGCTCCTAGGAGAAAGAGGAACAGCAAACCCCGGATATGGCAGGTCCCCATGGCTTCTCTGGGAGGTTGGGAAGAGCTGAGCCGGGTCTGCGATTTGATGGAGAAAAGGCAACTTTTCAACCAGATGGAGTGAGAGGAAATCTAGGTTCTGGCAAGTTCTGACTCGAGGGTGGAGCTTGCGGTCTGGAAGACCATGCTCTCTGAAGTCGCTCTGTCCCTGACTAGCCTGTGAGTTTGAGAAAGTTAGCGAGTGTATTGTGCCTCGCTTTGCAAATAGTTGTTCATTCTTAGTCCCGGCCGCCTGCTCCCTAAGACCATGCAATGCGGCGACTCCAACTTCCGGATCAGGAGTCCGGGCCCAAAGGCGCCTTTTCCCTCAGACTCGGCTCAGGTTCAAACCTACTCTCCCACGGCCTCGGCATCTCAGCCGCCAGCCCCCGGCTTCATCGGTAGCCGGGAGTCTGCGAGCCCGGCCCCATCTAGGGATCCAGGAGTTTGGGTTCCAGACCCTTTTCCCGCAGGACACACCATTCTGGGCCCCCAGCCCCCCAACCCTCTCAGGCGCGGGAGTCCTGGCCCCCACTCCTGGTCCCCTCCGACTCAGGAGTCCGGGCCCTCGGCCTCCTCTTTCCTCAGGACTCAGGAATCTGGGTCCCCAGCCTCCTTTTTCTCTTTGAAGGAGCAAAATTCCTGCTGGCTTCCAGATGACCTCGATCAAATCTTACGACCGCGAAGGTGCGGCCTGAAACGTTCTCTCGCCCAGCCCGGCGTTCTCTTACGGCTCCCAGAGGCACGGAAGGCGGGGCCAGCTTCCGCCAGACAGGCAACTCGAAGCCCCATTGGTCGACTCAAACGCATGGGATGAGCTCATTGCCTGAGGAACGCAGCACCTCATTGGCAGCAGAGCAGCCAATTGCTGGCAACCTTGGAAGGCGCACATGCGCAGAAGGTAAGTGGCGGGAAAATTGAAAGAGCCCGCGTCTTTGTAGCCCCGGGAGTGGGCCGGGCATCCCCAGATGACCTCGCTTCATCCTTTTCTCTCTTTGGTCTGTGTTGTCTCTGCTTCTACAGCCTCACTAGAAGGTCAAACCCTTGACCTTCACTCACTGAACTTATCTCCCTGTCCCCAAATGGCCTCTCACGTGCTCAGCCTGACCCCTGCCCCAGCCCTGGCCGCTGGGAGTCCAATTGGTCTCCTCACCTGTCACCGCAGTGGCCCCTGGTCTGCCCTGGTGTCATCCTCTGATCGCATCATGGCACCAGCCTCCTCCGCCGTCTGCTGGAGGGCCAAACTGAGAAATGCCTGCTTTGTGTTACTTCTTTGTTCTGTAAAAGCCTCCCCCTTGCATTCCCAAAGTAGAGCTCCTGAACCTCTTCTGGCTTGGAGCTGCCTGATTCATGAATTGTTGTTTGCTCAAATAAACTCTTCAAAATTTTATTGTGCCTCAGTTTACTTTTTAACAGCGTTCAGGCTATGCTGAGGCAAAGGCACTGGTGGAGAAAGGAGTGTGGCCCTCAGACATGGAATAGGGACCTCAGGCAGACCATCTCCCCCACAGTGACTGCCAGGAGGACATCGCCACTCCCATCAGAGGGAACCAGCCCGCCCCCTCCCCTGCACAAAAGCTTGCCACCGTCTGTGCCTGGGGCAGTTGCCACACAAGGGAATGCTTACTTTCCTCCACGCCCACGATGGGAAATCTGCTAAGAGTGAGGTTCCAACATAGAGAAGCGCAGGCCTGACCCGGAACCATCCAGTCACGCACTGAGAGCCTTACAGGACCTCACCAGTCTGCACTGCAAGGAGTTCCAGGGCACGTGTATAAATAGATTTTGTTCCAATTATCCACTGATTGCCTCTCAGTTCCAAATCCACCCTGCGGCACCCTGCTTGTCATACCTGAGCTGGGTCTCCTCTCACAAGCACGTCTCCTTGTCTCCCTGGTGTAATGTTACACTTTGCCGGTAGAGGGTGCTAGAGGGACACTGCAGGAGGAAGAGCCTCTTCCAGCCATAGGGGCAGAAGTTGTTCCCTGTATCTGTCATTCCCCTTTTCTCGAGAGTTCTCTTTACCCTTCAGTACCAATACCTTCTTAACTCCACCCCCCTATTCCTAGTTAAGGATTCTTTATATTAAACTTTCCCTGTTGAAATTGGCGTGTGGTTTCTGACTCCTGCCTGGACCCTGACTGATACAGGTTCCGAGTGTGAGACCAAACAGGGTGAACCAGAGGGGTTGATAGGGCCAAACTCTTTCACGTGGGATATGGGATTTAAGGTCTTGGCTCAAGCACTTGGGAATGACATTGCTAGTCTGCTAGGTTAGTGAGTTCATATCTGGGGTCAATGCTGGAACTTCTCCGGCACACTGGAGAGAGGAGTCCAAAGTCTGGGGAGGTGGGAAGGCCGGAGTGCAAGGCCTGGCCCTTTGCAGCCTCAGTTCCTCCCCTACCACGGCTCCAGGGTGGATTAGGAAATACTCTGAGGGGGGGACCTCAAGGGCCTCGTGGTGGCTCACTTTGGAGGCAGAAGATGCTTATGGGAGATGCTGCAGTTGGGTCCTCTGATCTCGATGGGAAAAAAGAGGAACTTGGAATGGCCAAGCAGTGACACTGAGCCTTCCGAGACAGGGTGTCCCCAGTCACTGAAATAAGCCACAGAGCAGAAAGGTCATCAGAGTGTCTTGACAGGCAGGGATCTGTGGGGAAGCTAAATGTCCATAAAAGTGAAATTGATGGGAAATCTACTAAGATACTGCTCGATAAATAGGAGATTTTCTAGCTCTGATAGGAAGAAATCTAACTTGACTCACCACAATGTCCTCTTGTTCAGTTTCCAGACTGAGCCAGTTCACAGACCTGGAACCCCATGAGTGAAGGGCAGGCGGGGTACATTGAAGAAGGACCCTGCAGTGCAGCCATGGGTGTAGACAGTGCACCTTGCCCCATGCCAGAGAGACCCGGGCCCCTTGTGTGGGGAGTTGGGCGCTGGTCACAGGGAAGCGCACAGATCTTGCCAGGGGTTATTGCATGACTGGGATGCTAATCTCCATTGTAAGCCGGCTCAGGGGATAGATGGACTCATCCTGTTGTTATTTCTGTTGTCCCAGAGTGTATCACAGGAATAGGTAACTGGAAAAATCCCCACACAGGTTCCCTGACCCGTGGAGTGAGGAGCATCATGGTGGAAAAAGCCAAAAGGTAACAAACCTGGCGCTGTCGCCTCCCTCACCAAGACGGTGCATCAGAAGCAATAAAGCACCCTGAGGGGGAGTCTCTGAGATTACTGCCCACATCACTGCTTGAGAGTCACAGGCGCCTAGATTGCTAGCACATTTCCGTTTACTGTACCTCTCCAGTCCCTGCAACAGGGTCTGGAGAATGACGGTAGGTTTTGGCGAACGTGACAATGACAATGGCAGCTGCAGTTCTGGCTGTGGTTTCTTACGGACCCTGGATCTGACAATGCATTTTTCTGTGTTTATGGGCAGAGATAGTCAGAAGCATTTACGTTGATATTTCGGGGACAAGAGTACAGCCTAATTTAGTGACCTCATGGCTTGGTCAGTTCTTCTGCCAAAGGGACCTTAAACACCTGATTTTCTGTGGAACTTCACACTGGTTCCCTTCGTTGAGGACATTGTGTTAATTTCCTTGGTCACAGTGAACGAGAAGTAGCAAGCTTGCCCGATGACGTAGAAACAAGACACGTGTGTGCCAGAGAGTGGGAGATAAAGCGTGCAAACGCCCAGGCTCTTGTCCTACTGATGTAAATTCTCCCGGTACAGAGGTCTGGGGCATGTCCCAATATTATTTCTTCTGTCTCTCTCCCTCTCTCTCTCTCTCTTTCTTTCTTTCTTTTTTTTTTTTTGTTGCTGTTTAAAGAGCATTTATTCAAGTGCAAAGATTGAGAACTGCAGTCCAGGTTACACTTCCAAGTCGCCTTGAGAAGTGCTCCCCAATATTCCTTCTGAACGGAGGGACAATGTGCTATCCCTTATGCTGCTGCCTCTAGAAAAAGAGACGGGTCCCTTAGGATCTGGGGCCAAAATGTCACACACTTTGACATGCTACTGCTGCCGATTTGTCCGGGAACCCTTAAGAATGCCAGTTTTGATCGGAGGAGTGAGCTGCGCAGAAGGTCCAGGCTGGAAGCCCAGCTGCCCTGACCCTCCGGCTGTGCGACCTGACACACCCAATGTTATTGGAAGTTTCTGTGACATAAAGAGAAAATGGATCACCACGATGCAGAACCTCAGGGTTTAGGTCAAAGGTACGCTGCCTCCTGCAGACAGCCGTCCACCCTTCGGAAAGCAGTTCCTGGCTTGTTACCGGGCCCAGAGGAATCTGAATGCCTGACCACGGGACACCAGAGGTAGGTTGACTGCACAGGACACATCCTGTCATGGAGGGGACAGAGCTTTATCCTCACAGGGCCAAACACATACTGTGGGTTCCAGGTTGCCCTCCCTGTACTCAGTGCTTCTGTGAACACCGCAGTTCTGGGACCAAAGATGCTTTTTCTGGTGCTGTGGTAGCCCATGCAGCATTGCTTCCAACGAAGCGATACATTTTAAGGCAATGAAAGTGTGGTAATTAATTCACACCATGGAACCCGCCGACCTTCCTAGGTGCCCCGGTGCATGGAGACGGCTGGCTTCTTGGGATGGTGGAATGGCCCACGAGTGGCTTCTCAGGGCCCCAGGGGAGAGATCGTACCCTGCCATCCAACAGGAAATGCCATATGTCTTAAACCAAGGGCCAGTCTATCGTGCCACCTTCCCCATGGCCAGATGCACAGATCCAGGAAATAAAGGAAGAACAAGGGACTGTCCCTTCCACTACTGCACCTACCTACCCTCCTTGTCCCTGTGACCTTGGGCTGGTTGGATGAAGCTCTGACCAGTGAACGCCATGACTGCCACTAGCCATCGTGTGCTCCTCGTGTGGCCGAAACAACAGGCAAAGAAGGGGGTCACCCTGTGGGCTGCGGTGACTGAACCTGACTACCAGAGGGAGGCTGGACAAGGAGACTAGGTTTGGAAGGAGGCGCCGTTGGGGGTACTCCTTCCTTGGCCAGGGCCCTGTCCCATGGAAAACGACAGAAATCCAACAAGACCGACAAGACCATCCAAGACTCACTCCCTGTGAGAATGAAGATTTGGCCTCGCAACAGGTCCCAGACACTGTCCAAACGCGGTGTTGGAGGTGGTGGGGAACATGGGGGGTGCAGCTCCGCATCCTGGACCTCAGCAGCTCTGTTCAAAGTCGTCTCCTCCCTCTTCTTCCTCTCGCTGTGTAGGAACTGGTGGTGCAACACAGAGGGAGGAGGACTTCTCTGTCGTCATCACAGAGCAGTGATTGAGTGGTGGGTGGGAATTGTGTGTCTTCTGTACCGAGGACTCTGATTTCCACCCACACGAGGGAAGACGCTGGAGCCGTCGGCAACTCTCTCTGAATGTCTCTCTCTGCAGATGCCAGCAATGGCTCCTTCTCCCCCTTTCAGGCCTAGGATGGCAACAGAGCCCCAGTGGCAACAGCCCTGGGAAACTGTGCTAACCCTTTTGTTCTCGACTCCTCTCAAGACCTTATGTCAATTATCCCATTACTGTCATGTGCCACATAGCAACGGTTCAGCCGACAGTGGGCCGCATAGACAATGGTGGTCTCATTAGATTATAATACCGTGAAGTAACTGTCCCTTTGCTAGGTTTAGATGTTTAGAAACACACACACTTGCCATAGTGCTACGGTGGGTACAGTACTTGGTGCAGTGACATGCCGTTCAGGTTTGCAGCTTAGGAACAAGCGCCATACCATCCGGATGTGTGTGAATACACGCTACGATGTTCACACAACAACAAAATCATCTAACAACACATTTCTCAGAATGTGTCCCTGTGGTTATGCGACACACGACTATGCTAACCTCTCCTCCAGTTACTCAGACGAGGAGCCCCCGATGTGAGCTGGGGCCCTGACGGCCAGGATGGAAGCCTCACTGGTCTCAGCGCATCTCCCGCTCCCAGGTCCTTCCGCCACCCAAGCTGGAATGGACGTGTGGACCAGGCCAATGAAGGTCGGGCCTTGGGTGGTGATTTTCTCACCAAAGTCCTCTCCTGCCCCGTGCCAGACCTCTGGGAGCCCGGCCCTGCCCTTCCAGAGAGAAATCCCAGCACTGGAGAAAGGACAGGTCTTTATTTTCAGGTACATGTGGCCACTCCTCGAATGTCCCCTCTCCGTAGGGCAAGCTCAGCTGCTCCCAGGTCCTCCCTATGTTATCATCAGGTGATAACGTGTGTTTGGGTGCTGGGGGGATGGTAATTCACAGGGAGGATGGGAAAATAATTTGTTGTCCAAGGCCATTAGCTTGTGGGGTCAGAGGGAGGGTGGGATTTGGGTGGTCAGCAGGGGTTAAGGCTCATGGGGGAAATGGAGTTAGCGGGAAAGACAAAGCCCCCCACAGCAAAGGGCTAGGGCTACCCCCAGCCCCACCACCTGAGCGAGGGAGGCGGCAGGGGCAGCACCATTTTGGAGACGAGGTTTAATATTATAATCATTATTATCCTCTTCGTTCTCACGCACGGAAAAGATCCCAATATTCCTGGTGTGGCTCAACAAGGAGGTGGAAGGTTGGGCCACGCAGCCCTGAATACCCACTGTGGTGGTCACCCCACCTATAGGGAGAAGATCGAGTCGGAGAGGACACCAAGTACAGCACACCGACCTTTCTAAGAACCAGCCCCTTCCCCTCAGACCCAGGGGTCCAGCCCAGCCCCTCCCCCTCAGACCCAGGGCTCCAGGTCCCCAGGCCCCTTTGTCCTTGGGATCCAGCTTTCAGCACTCACCTCCCTTGAGATAAATGTGACCATCATAACAATGAGCAGTGCCGCTAGGACACGTAATGTTGGGCGAGTTCCCAGAGCAGGATCCAAAGATGTTCACACAGCTAGGACACCGCAGGTTTCCCGGGGCAGGGGCAGCTGAGAGCAGAGAGAAGGGTGGGGCTGCACAGCTCTGCTGTCAGCTATAGCCACCCACCTTGGGCCCCGAGTGTCTGTGTCTCTGTGGCCTGGTCTCTCCGTGTGCCCGGATCCCATACCTGGACGATGGAGGAACTTCAGCAGGATGCTGGTGCTGTTGGCTCTGTTGCAGAAGCTGGAGGAACAGAACCGGACATAGGAGGCCACGAGCACCCCAGGGGGCCCGGTATGTATGGTGGTGGCCCAGGAGTCCTGAGCCTCAGACCTGCCGCAGCCTTTGTTCCACAGCAGGGCTGACTTGCTTCCTGAGGGGTGAGACAGGGATAGCTGGGCTGGGGAGGGCGGCTCCAAGGGCAGCAGGAGGGACTCGGAGCGGGACTCCCTGCGCTCCACGGTGCTCCGCAGGCAGAGGGCGGATGCAGGTCCCCTGATCACCACGGCATGGGTCATGCTTAGTTCTCATTGGGGGAAACCAAGACACAGAGAGAGGAAGAGTTGGATTGAGAACTCCAGGCATGAGGGGAACTGAGCAGGAAATTCAGGGGACAGGACCCGGGGTGCTGCAGGGGACACGGGGTAGGTGTGTGGTCCTCTCGCCCAGCCATGCACCTGCGTCTATGAGCAGCAGCGTCTCCTGACACACTTGCCCAGCATCGCACAGCCGGATCCAGTCTGTGTCCCAGTACACGGGTTCGTGAGTCAAGTTGCTCCCAGCCATAAACTTGGTCCCTTGTTCACAGATCACAAAATCTGGGGAGAGGAAATCATCAGGGTCTGCGTCAGCAGGAACCCACCATGTCCGTCCCTCCAGGTCCCATGCTAGGGAAGGTGATCACATTCTGAGTCACATTCCAGGTGTCCTGGCCACAGAGTCCCTCAGCCTTGGACTTAGAAGAGACACAGAAGTCTAACCCCACCTACACTGCTCACCCTGTTGCTGCTTAAACACCGCAGGGCCCTCCTCCCAGGGCCCTCTTTGGAAGGCTGCCCCTCCCTGCAGGTGGGAGAGCCATGGACAGCCGGTCTCCACTTCCCTGTCCGGGCTACAAGGTCCTCATTGGGATAATACGGAAGGCGGCCTGAGACCGTGTTTCTTTTCATTGAGAAACACAATGTTCCAAACAAAAAGACTCAGTGCCTAGCATGTACTGAGCTGTTCTAGCCCCTTGAACCCTCCCAAGGTGCTCGCCTTGTCTGCATGGCCTCACAGCGACCCACAAAGTAGGTGTTGTTGTCATCATCATCATCATCCTCATTGTCAAGCAGCTGCCCGGTATCACCCAACTAGTGAGTGGCAGAACCGGGCTTGGAGCAAGGCGTTCTGGCTCCTTAGGGCTGGGGTTGGGCTCAGTGGTGGGGAAGACGGGTGTTGAAGATCATCTTCAGCTACGCTGGCCCTGGTGGCCCTCAGGAGTCTAGTGTGAAAGCCACGAGCCTCGGCCTTCTCTCAAGGCCAACACAGATCGGCAGTGACATGTCCCACCGTGCAGAAACTCCTCAGCTGAGGACTCTGCGTCTACCAACACCTGTAACCTTCATAGCAGGCCCACCAAGGAGGGCCGCTCATCTATCTGCTTCACAGATGACAAAACTGTGGCTTCTGCTCCCCTCCCCCAAGCATGATCCCCACCCTGCCTACCCCCTGCCCCAGCTTCCTCATCTTGGTCAATGGTGGCTCCTTTCTCCCAGTTGCTCAAGCTGGAAATATTGCTGTCATCTTTGACAATTGTGTCTCTCACCCCATGTGGCGTCCCTCAGGACATCCTGCTGGCCACTTGGGACCCCCTCCACTGCTTCCACCTGGGTCCAAGCCCCATCAGCTGGCTCCTGCCTCTCCACAGCTCTCCCTGCACCCCGAGGCCCACCCCCTACTCTGACCTCCACCCGCAGACAGGGATGCTCTCTAAACGTAAGTCAGTTCTTGTTACTCCTCTGCTCCGAAGGCTCCAGTAGGTCCCCATCCCACTCAGAATAGAATTCTAAGTCCTCAAAATGGCCCAGGGGCTCCAGCACGATGGGGTTTCCCACTCCTTCCCCACCCATGTGTCCTGTCCCCCACCTCTGACACTCTGCTCTGCCCACAGTGTCCTCCTGGTCATGGCCAACAAGATGTCAGGGAGTAAGTGCAGGAGAGAAGGGCACTCCAGGGAGGCAGAACAGCTCTAGACAGGCAAGAGCACAGGTTGCCCAAAATGGGCCACAGCAGGAGCAGGGAAGAAAACCCCAGGGCTAGAAGGAGTGAGGCCCCGGGCAGGGTTCCCGGTGAACACACCGTGGGCACACGCCCACCTCAGGGCCTTTGCATCTGCCCCCTCCCCATGTCTGCAGCCACCATCCAACCCCTTCTCCAAGCCCAGGGAAAGATGCTCAGTGAGACATTGAGACTTTTGATACTCAGATGATGTTGACACTCAAAAGCTGGTCCAGTGGCAGAGCACGGACTCGAACTCCCGTCTCCCTGATTCAGACACCAGGCTCTTAACTGCCAGGTGCTGAACTCCTCTCACTAGGACCACTGCCCAGCTCCTCAGGCGGGTGGTCAGGGCCTTACCCGTTCCAGCCCCTTGGTTCTTCAAAACGGGCTGCAGCCCTGGCCCGTCTCGAGCACCCTCTGTGTGCTCACGAGCTCTTCCGCCTCTCTGGAGTGCTCTTCTCCCCCACCTCCCATTCACTCCCTGACATCTGGCCGCACCCCTGGCTTCTGACCCTTGGTTTGGTGATGCTCACTACACATTTGCCAAACTGCTGAACTGAACTCAACCAGGGAAGGCAAAAGCATCCTCCAAGATCTGGCTGCAATGTCGAATGCTAGCCGGATGCGTATATAAATTAAGAACATGTATTTGTGGCACAATAGCTGTGTTTTATGTGGCTTGTGTGTGGTTTGTGTAGTATATGTGTATGGCATGTGCTGTGTACACGGTGTGCTTGCGTGGTGCGTGTGGGGGTGATGTATGTGGTATGTGTTTGTTGTGTGTGTTTGGCGTGGTGTGTGTTCAGCGTATCTATGTTTTGTTTGTGTGTGGTGTGCATTGCATGTACTGTGTGTTGTATATGCAGTCTGTGATGGGTGTGTGTTATATCGGGGGTATGGGGGAGCATGTGTGTGGTATGTGATGTGTAGTTGCATATGTGGCATCGTGTGATGCATGTGTTTGTGTCTGTTGTGTGTATTGTGTGTTGTGTGTGTGGCACACATCCGATTAGTTTCTGAAATACCTTTTGAATTATGAATGTCATCTAGTCCCAGAGATGAGGGCCAGATGATTAAAACCCGCCTTAGTCAAAAGGAAAGATAAATGGCTCGGACTCTGCCCCTCCCTGCTCAACAGCCTTCCATGGCTCCCCTGCCCTGGGCAGGACGTCCCCCCTCAGCTTGGCTTTGCAGGTACTTGACCACCCCCAGCCCCCTCTTACCTCTCCGCTCCCTACCAGTGTCCGTTCCCAAGACACACCAGGCCTTTTCCTGCCCCCTTGGCCTCCCACCAGCTCTTCCTTCTCTTCCTTCTGCTTAGATAGCTCCCCTTCCACCCCTACCCCCACCTCGTCTATTTGGAAAACTTCTAACCAACCCCCAATCCCAGCTGCACCCCATCTTCTTGATGAGCCCTTCCAGGCAATAATAGGCTCACTCGACCTCCGGGCCTTTGCATGTGTTGTTCCCTCTGCCTGTTAATGTGCTTTTCCTCTTCTACAATCTTTAAGACGTGGGTTCATAGGTCACCTCCTCTGTGAACCCCCCGTTCACCCCCCACCCCCAGGCCATCAGTGTCTTCCTCCTCTGAGCATCCCCAGGCCCTGCATCCCCCCATCCCACATCCCTGACCACCCCAAGCAGGACCACTGTGTCTGTGGTCTGTGGCGTCTCTCTCTCCTAGTCCTGGACGCCCTCTAGGCAGGGACAGGGTCTGACTCATCTGGGGTCTCCATGGAGACCCCGGGATCCTGCCTGGCCTCACTTCAGCATACACGTCCTGGGCACCCATCCTGAGCCAGCGCTTACGCTGCACAAGCTGGAAACCTTGGTGTCAGTGACGCGCAGTCCCTGTCCTCAGGCTCCTTGTCTAGCCAGGGAGACAGCTCCAAACGCAAAGAGGAACGTCTGCTGAACTCACTCAACTCTCTCCTCGAAGCTCTAAGGGTTAGGGCAACGTGGCCAGAGGAGGAAACTGAGGCACAAACAGGGAAGACTTTGCCCCAGGGCAGCTGGGACTTCTGTCTGACCCTTCCTTCCCCACTGCGGCTTCCCCTTGCCCCAAGGCCCCTCTTACTGAGAACCCCACGGCACTCTCCATCCTTCCAGCGTTCTGCTGGGGCCGCACGTGACTGGGCAAGTGGGGACATGGCCAGTGTCCCTGCTGAACTCTTGCCTTCCGTGACTCCCCCGAAGCACCCTTGATTTTCCCTCTGGTTTCCTTTCCTGTGTAGGCACGCCTGCTGGGGGCTGCAGTACCACAGGTGGGGGTGGATGAGGGCAGCAGAGAGGGTGGGGCGGTCAGGGGGAAGTGGGAGCCCCAGGGTGACCCAAGGTCAGGAGTGTGGAGAAATAGAACTGGAAGTCCCTGGCCCCGTGAGAACCAGCAGGTGCTCCAGCACTCCCCGACGCGCAAAGTCACACGCAAATCAACCCGCCCTGCACCCTAACCTTCCTCCCCTGTCCCCTCCCCAACAGGCTGCCCTAGCTTAGCCTGGCATCATTTAAAACTCCCAGCAGTGGGCTCCTGTCCTATAGTCTGTCCCCTGGGCCACACACCCTTTCTCTCCTTCAGCTGGACACTGCTTGCTGGCACCCCATCCCTTTATCCCCCAGCTGCCTACCCAGAGAGTCCCCTCACTTCACACACGCCTGAGTGAGCAGTAAACACCTAAATTACCTGTGGCTGCTGGCTTTGCTGTGATGCCTTTGCATGCCCCATACGTTAGCCAGGCTCATCCTGCCCAGGGCTGCAGTGAAGGACACAGCCTCGCTGTTAGGCATGGGACTCACCTTTGGGATCGCAGCTCTCCCTCACTTCTATGGGCCCGATGTTCTGGGTCCCATTGAGCAGGTTGCAACCCGGTTGGGACGTGCATCCCTGGACTTGCAGTCTGGTGAAGATGTTCCCTGAGGAAGGGGAAGAGGGAGAGGCAGCGAGGCTGCTGCAAGGACCAGCCGACCCTCAGAGGGGGGCGCTGCCCTAGGAGGCCAGGTCCACCTCCCTCCGGGCCCCTCCCATGCCTCAGCTCCCCAGAGACTCAGATCTCAGTCCCCAGGCCTCCCCATTCAGCCCCCACAGGGACCCCAATGTTCCCAGCTTACCTCCCACGAGCCGGAGGACCCCATTGTAGCAGTGTGTGCTCCCCTTGGGACAGACCTCTGTGGCACTCCCTGCACAGCTCTCTGTAGAAAAGCAGACTGGGCACCGCAAGGACCCTGGGGCTGGGGAGGTGACAGACAGAATGAGGGGACACTGAGAGGGCTCTGGATTTGGATCAGATGCCTTCTCTTCACCCCGCTTTTGCTGGCCCCAATCTCCCCAATGTCCCTTCCTCGGGCTCCTCTTGCACAGCCTGAGTGTGGGGAATTAGGGATGTGAGGCCGGTGAAAGAGGAAGTGAGGGGAGATATGAGATCTGGGGAGAGGCCGGGCACAGTGGCTCACGCCTGTAATCCCAGCACTCTGAGAGGATCCTTTGAGCCCAGGAGTTTGAGACCAGCCTGGGCAACATAGCAAGACCCCGTCTCTAAAATATTTCTTAAAAAATTAGCTGGGCATGGTGGCACACACCTGTGGTTACCAGCTACTTAGGAGTCTGAGACAGAAGGATCACTTGAGCCCAGGAGTTGGAGGCTGCAGTGAGCTATGATCACACCACTGCACGCCAGCCTGGGTGACAGAGCGAGATCCTGTCTCTAGCAACGACAACAAAAATCTGGGGAGAGGAACCCGGGGCTGAGGAGGGAAGTGGGTGCTGGGGTGCAGGGGGTGGGGGCGGGGCCTGCTGAGGCTAGACATGGACACAGACTCCTTGGTCAAGGCAGGGAAGGGGTCCCCTGGAAGGAGCCCATGGCTTCACCTGGAAGTCCTACTAAACAGTTAAGGAACATAAGTCATCCGCATTCAAAAACTGTTCCAGAGAACAGAAGCGCAAAACATCGTCCCAAACTCTATTTACAGCACCTGACATGGACAGTGGGAAGGTATAAGCCATCTTACTTAGGAACAGGGAATGCAAAAACCCTGCGGGAGGCATTGGTGAAGCTAATCCAACAGTATAGAAGAAAGGAGAACGCACGATGACCAGGTTAGGACGGTCGCCAGAGTGTGCGGTTGGTGGTTTCACATGAGAAATCAGTCCAGGTTGCTGCTCCAGGACTGTTAGCAGAGGCTGGGCAGGGGAGGGCCAGCAGGAGGGCAGAGCTTATTTGTGAGGGTGCAGGGTTAAAATCACAACTTTGGAGTTAGAGCAGGGGACAGGGAGGGGACCCCATTTCCAGGGAGGGGCGTGACCTGCTGCTCCAGGACTGTTAGCAGAGGCTGGGCAGGGGAGCCCTGGGCAGTGGACACGGCGGTGGCAGGGATGGGAGTGAGTGCCTAACAGAGGGGGAAGGACAGAGCCAGGGGCCCAGGGGGCGTCAGGGAGGGGTGGGGCAAGTGAGCCACGCCCTCCGCCGCCCCCTCCCTGTCCCATTCCTCGGGGGCCCTCCACCCGCTGACACCTGTTTGGAGGGACGGGGTCCAGACCGGCATGGTGTTGGAGAGGCCATTGCAGAGGTCCCCCTGGCGGCACACGTGGGTGTAGGAGACGACGGAGAGGCCCGGGCCTGTCCTGTGCTCGGTGACGCGGGCCTCGTGGTCCTCCTCCTTAGTGCAGCCCTTGCTGAGCACCACCATCACGTGTGGTCCTGACCAGAGAGGGAGGCAGGCAGGGTGGGGATCAGGACTCCAGGGTCCCAGAGGAAGAGGCTGCATCGTGGCTTGGGGTGAGTGGCTGCGGGGGAGGCTCCTGGGCACCCGAGGGGCTGCACCTGCTGGGGAGGGGGCTCCCGCGACCCTGCCCGGGAGGCAGGCGGGCTGAGCGCCAGGGGCAGGGCCCTTCTCACCGTTCTCAATGAGCATCAGCGTGTCTTGGCAACCCTCGCCGCTGTCACATTCTTTCTGTTCAGCTGTCCACGAGAGGGGCAGGTCCGATACATTGTACACAGACCTACCTGACAGCAACTGGCAGAGCAGCGCCTGCGCTCCTGGGGTGGGAAGAGCAGATCCCTGTCAGCAGAGCTCCCCCGCCATTCCTGCAGCAAAATCCCCTCCAGGTCAAGGCGCTCACCTGGCAGCGTGAAGGTGACCCCCAGGAGGGCCAGCAGGAGGGCAGAGCTCATGACCAGTGTGCAGCAGAAAATTCCCTACTGCTCTTTCAACCAGGAAACAAGCCTTTTATAGAACCCCTGACCCAGCAGCCCAGGAAAGGGGTGGGGAGGGAAAGATCTTGCTAAACCAAGGCCTGGGCCCAACCCTCTGAGTCTCAACTGCTTGAAGGGCCTGGGACCAGGGCCCCTCCTCCCTCAGACC